CCAAACGTGGCCATCATGTCGTAGTAGCGGCGCGGGAACGACATGCGATACAATGTGATGCAGAGTGCTTCAGTCGATGAACATCGGTCTCGGCTTGATGTGATAATCACATCGGGCAGGCGAAATGCACACACCAGAGCTTGTACACCTGCAACGTCGAAGCGAAGCATCAACATCGAGTCGACATCGGACAGCTTGAGAAGGTCAAAACGGACATCGGGACAAGCGGACGTTCAATAACGCAAGCGATGAGGCGAAGAAGGCGCATCTTTTGGCGAAAGTTGCCCTTTCGGCAACGCCTTAAGAGAGCATCGATTTCGACATCAGACTGCATTCCTTGGAGCTCCTTACGTGTTTGATTCACGTCGTAGTACTTGCACACTCGGCTAAATTTAATTGGCTGCTGTTATCTGGATAAATGCAGTTTGCAGCGGGGTGGTTGCGAAACCTGGACTATATTTTCTTGCACTTTATCTGTGTTCTAGAATATGGAACGTGGATAAAACAAAACCAGAAGTTGCGAAATCTGCCTTTTGTCTCCCCATCGAATCGTGGATAGGGGACATGTGCCAGTGTTCGTTTTTCGTGTATTGGACCCATTGAACGACATCATGGTGGCCTTCGTTTGTAGCCGCCATCGGCGCTCTTCGCCAAAAGCATAGCATTGAGCTTATGTGCAAGCTTAGGGCGCGGTCGACGCTTTAGCGTTGCAGCGTCCATGGGCAATGGTGGTGGATTGACTTGCAATACATACAGGAATGTGGGCTTGAAATGGACAGGATATATTTAGCCAATGGATTTCATCCATTTGAATGAATCCCTTTTGATTGGATAATTCAAGTACACCTTCCAATCTTTTTGGCGAGAACGTGGTCAGCGTCGCTCCTTGAGTATTAAGTCTCGCGAGGTTACCGTCGGATGCGAAAAAAGTGTCAATTTCGTCATCAGGTTCAAAGGTGACGACGGCCACGTACACTTCGGCGCAGTCAATGTGTGGAGAACGGACGGTAAGATTGCCTGCCGATAGCTCTTGTGTCAGGACATGAGCGCGCACTTGCGATCCTCTCTTTGTGGCTGCTGCTCGTGCAAGGCTCTTCGTGGGCTAGTTCTGTACACTGGGTCCAATTCGGATCGAGCGACTGCAGTCGTTCCCGGAAGTACCCAGGGACTTTGCGTTCCTTCGGCGCACCCATTCCATGGCGATCGCGCCACGCCTTGTGCACTCGACAATCGTCCGAAGTTGTGCATCGCGAGCGTGCTGCATCGAGGGTCAGTACTCTAGCCATGGTGTGGCCAACATGCGCGACGAACAGTTTGGACAAACGT